ACCTGTGATAATGGACACAATTTTGAAGTAAAATAACCTTAATGCAAAACATAAAACCTACCATTATCCTAAATGTTTTTCCTTATAAAAGAACATGTTATACTAGCAGTTATCTTTAAGAAGCATAGTCTTTTTTAATAGATTTCCAATAGAATAAAATTTAATATACTTTATACTGCTGCTCCTTAGTCAGGTAAGCTAAACTGAAATGACCACTGGACAAGAAAAATAATTTTTTCTTCCAGATTTCAAATCTTTGTATCAATAACAAAGTTTAAAGTTACTGACCGAAAAAGTTTTAAAGTATAACAACAGCAACAAAAAACTTAATATTTGCTTAGTTAACTTTACTTAATAATGCCAAACTATAACAAACATCAGTATCTACAGATAAATTTGATATGTAATAGCTGCTAGTGACCTGAGCTGTAATTTTTACTTATAAGCACCAGAAGTCTCATTAAAAATGATAAACTTAACATGAGGCTGCTTACAAGCTAGTAACTTTAAAGAATGCTACTTTTTTGAGAATATTAAGACTATGAGACTTGCATTCCACACTATCACCCAAATAATACTGAAAGCCATCTAATACATTTTTTTCAACCTTCATATCTAATATAATCTGTATTAATGTTTACAAATAGACTTTTAAAAACTGAAGTGCATGCACTGTTCAAAAGTAACCAATTTTCATAACAAACAGGAGGCTTGCTCCTTCCTCTCTTAAAATACACACTATGAATATGTCATAGTATGGTGCCACACACACAGAGCAAAACCTGACAGAGGCACACTCATTCAGATAAAGGCAGTCCCTACCTTCTAAAGCACCTGTCTGGGGACGGTGTTCAAAACTTGGTTTCTTGCCAAACCTTTTCTCCCCCTCATCTTCATCTCAGTAAATCTCACCACCATCTATCTAGTTGCTCAAACCAGGAACCTGGAGGTCACTTTTGACACCTTTCCTTTAACATTCCATCCATCATATTAGTTGTCAATTCCCCTGCTATTCCCATCTCCTTGGTCTCTCTATATATAGCATACCAAATTATATTATATACTTACGATATTCATAAATACATATTATGTATTTTTTCATCTCTATAGCTGCTATCCTAGTTATCTCGCTACCATCATGTCTTACCTCAACAACTGCTAATAGTACAGTATCTTGGCTTTTACTCTTCCTCAATCCATTCTCAAAGTGCTTTAAAAAATGTAAAGCTTCTTACCTTTGTGCTTCAAAATCTTCAATGATTGCAACATCCTTAGTAAAACCCAAGTCTTTAACATGCTCTGCAAGACCCTGTAGAATATGCTCTCTGCCTATCATTGACTTCACCTTGCACGGTTTTCCTCTCTTATTAGTATGGTTCTGCCACCCTGAACTTTCATTTCTTCCAACATCTTTCTTACTTTCACACATATTTTTCTCTCTTCCAGGAATCCCTTTTCCTGTCTAGCTTCTTATTCTTTATGTTTAGATTAAATATCACCACCTGAGAGAGGCCTGAGCACACAATCTAAAGGCCTCCCCATTTCTCTCTTACAGTACCATTCTTTCTTTATTTAAAGAATTCATCACGTTGTAATTTTACATTTATTTACATTTCATTATCCACTTCCACTATTAGACTATATATTTTACAAAATAAAGATCAAATAATATGCACTTAATAAATACATATTAAATATAATAGACTAATAAAGGGGTCATTTACTAAATCTGTTTAATGAATGTGAATGACCTGGAGTCCAGAAGATAAATTATACCTCATAGTGTCTTCGCCTCCTCTAGGTCTACCATTATCACTTGATGAGCTTGCCACCTGTTTCTAAAAGGTAGGAACAAAAGTATTCCCGCAAACTTAAAGGCAATAAAATAGAAAAGAGTGTCAGGAAGTTGTACATCTCACGTCATGTAACCAAGACAAAAAATGCTATAATCTCATAGAAAGGAAAAATCCCTAAATGCTACACTGATGATTTTATTGCCATGATGGAATTTGACCTGAGTATTCAAAGACGGGTAAAACTAGAAGAGGTGGAACATATTAGACTTATGTTAAGACCACAACAGCTACAAGACATTTAAAAAGTTACAAGAAAATCATTCTATCACCTCAGTGTCCATAAATCTCCTCTGAATTGACATTGCAAACAGTTACAATGACCCATTCTAAATTTTCATAATTCATTTTATTCTGCCTCATTTCCATATTACCTTTTTCTTTATTCACTATACTGATTATCTGATGAAATTTCCCCACTAGATCTATTACTTCAGTCATATTTATTTTTCCTTTATATTTTAACCTTTAGGATTTCATTTTTTTTATTTGTCAGAGTACTTCAGTGACTTTTTCTTTTATTACATTTATATCAACACATCTAAATCTTTAGAAAATCTAAAATGTTCACATGTACTAAAATTTTATTTTACTGATACAAGTTTCTATATATTTTACTTCTAAATTTGTAATGCTATTTCATATTTCAGTTCCTGCCTCTTAAATTTATACATTAAGCCACTCCTTCAATTCTACCTTCGTTTCCATAGGTAAATTGCTGAGGTATATACAAGTTACAATGCCTTGTAGAAAACACTGTTACATTAGATAAGGTGTTTGAAACTAAAAGTTTCTAAAGATTCTTCCAAGTCGAAAATTCCATTATTTATCCTTGTCATGGCCCTTTCCACTGACAACACTGCTTTATCTTTATTCATATCTGCCTACTTGAATTTATTTTTTTAAATGTTCTTTTCAGGGAAGGTCAACTATATCACTATTTGTTTCAAAACCTCTGTCTTCTCTCACACTTAAATCCAGGTATAGATTTTGTTATTTCAGAGGACAGAGCTCATGGGACACTCAGAAACACAGAATTGTAAAATTGGAGAAAACTAAAGTCCACAGAAGTTAAGAAACCTGATTATCGTTACACAGGTAGTAAAGTAACAGTCCTGATTCTTTCTAATCAGCACTACTTCCCAGTCAAAAACGTTTTACTGGTTGCACCAGCAGTTTTTTTCCTAATGCTATTTCCTTGGGACAACACCTTCTCCTAGTTAATAAATCACAAGGTTTTCGTTTTTAACTCTATATAAAAAGGTATAAAACATTTTAAATAATATTCTAAGAGTAAAACCCACTCTCCTGAAACTGTCCAAGTATGCCAAAGATACCTCAACCAAATCTGGAAGGCAACTTCTTTCCCCAAAAGCATTTCATGTGTATATTATATGATCTGCGTTTTATAGGAAACTCTCCAAGGACTGAGACAGGCCAATTCTTTGTACTACACTGTAACAACTGAATGGTGAAGTGTTAAAGCAATAAAAGAGACAGAAAAGTCTTGCAAGATTTATAACACAGATTTAACTTGCTTGAAGCAACAATGTTTACAAATATTTATCATATCTGTCATATGGAAGGCTCCCTGCTGACTGTTATTAGCACCAAGTCCCACTTAAATTCAAATTCTGTAAATCCAACAGAAAAGAAACACTATGTTCATTCTTCACCTTTTGCATTGCAAAACACCCCTCCCCACCCATAACTACCTTCGCAAGGTGGAATCCCCCCTATTAAGATCACCTTCTATACATTGAAGTGTTTGTAGACCTAGTGCTTCTTTTAAAAAGTACCTGTGCAATTATGCAGTTTAGATAAAGTAATATTACACAAGATAAAGCCTCTTTTCTGTACCAGATCCCAGTTGGTTAAGTAAACTGGAGAGTTTCAAATTAGATAAAAAGAAATGGTGAAAAGTAGCATGTAAAACTGGGAAACTAACTTGTGATGGTGATTTTATTAATGAAGATAAACTTTATTTGATATGGGGAAATTTTTAAGTAGTTATTATTTAACCTAAGTGAATACAAGTCACAACAGTGTCAAATCCCAGACTTCCAGGAAAGTAACTGTGTTAACAGTTAATGTCACAATTTCAAAAAAAAATTTGTCTACTTTGTTGTACAAAGTTTCATTTTCCTTAAAAAAAAAAAGGCAAAATAAAACCAAAAAAGGACGGAAGGAAAACCACTGTGAGCTGGAGACTGTAACAGGCCAGTAAGACACCCAGACTTTCCGGGTCATGCTTGGCTTTGGGATGGATGTCCGCGAAGGGTGCCCTGGAACCACCCATACGTCCCACACCCAGAGCCCAAGGAAGCAGCGGTAGCAGCGGGGTACGGGACCCGCTGCAGACGTGGAGAGGCCCTGGGGCAAAGGATCACAGGAAAGGCTATGCAGTCGTGAGCCGGGAGGCAAGGCCTGGGAGAGCGCCGGGGACGTCCCGGGCTCGGGGACACCAAGCGCTCGCGCGGGACGCCCTGTCATGAGTCACGGAGGCGAGAAAGCAGGCGGGCGGGGAGAGGCTGCTGGATGGAGGGAAGCGAGCAGACGGGAAGGCCCCGACCTCGAGCGGGGTGAAGAAGTGGGGGCCTTGCCCACCCACGCCCTGCTTGCCCACCCTGCCCTCACCACCATCCGACGCAACAGGCGCGGCGGCCGGGTCTCGACCCCAGGGTCTGCGGGCTGGGGGGCGGGGGCAGCAGCACGCAGCCATGACAGGCGCGGGGCGGGCCGCGGGCTGGCTGGGCCGCACGTGCGGGCAGCGTCCCCTCCTCAGCCTCCCCGCGCGCCCCTGTCTCCGGGCCCCACACCCCTAGCTGCAGCGGCTCGGCCCGACCTGCCCCGACCCCTCCTCTCCCGCGCCCCCAACCCCCGTGTCAGGCGACGGCGGCACGTACTCACCGCCGCTCGCTGGCTCTCGGGCTTCGCCATGACTGAGGAGCCCCCGCCGCCCCCCGCCTCGACCGAGACTGACACGCGCGCCTGGCCGGGCGGGGGCGGCCTCAGGCGACCACCCCACTGACAGAACCCGCCCCCGCCTCTCTCCACTAGTTGAGCGGCAGCCCCAGCCCCGCGGGGCCCCCGGGCTTCCTCCCCAGGCCTGAGGCGGTGGGCGACAACGGCGGCGGCGGCACTTACCGGCGGTGCGGGCAGGCCCCCCTGTCAGCGCGGGGCCGACAGGGAGCGGCGGGAGGAGTGAAGGGGCACCACCTCCCACGCGCCGCCACGCACCCGCCTGATTGGCCCAATTCACTCCCCCAGCAGGACCGCACCAGCCCCGGCGAGCGGCACTCCGGCAGCACCGGCGAGCCATTTGCATATTTGTGCCCGCGCCGCTGATTGGCGCAGACTCGGAGCGCCGGCTGTGACCGCTGCAGCTCCCGCCGTGGCTCCTGCCGCGATGGGCGACCCAGCGGGAAGGGTCCCCTTCGCCGCTTCCTTTCCCTCAAGGTGCGGCTGGACCTGAGGCAGTGGGAGACGGGAGGCGGTGTCGTCACCCTGCTCCAACATGGCCCCGCTGCGCCGCCGACCCAATCGCGGGTGCGGTTACTCCAGGAGCCCCGGCCGGGGAAGTGTTAGGGCCGGGCGCCCTCTGGCCGGAGCGCGGGGCAGTGCAGTGGCCCGGGCTCCCCTCGCCGCCCTGCCGCGGCCGCCACGTCAGGCCGCACCCTCGCGGCGGCCTCGCCGCCACGTCAGGCCCAGGAGGCACGCCCCGGCCGCGAGCTGACCGGCACCGAGGTCACTCACACGTTGGGCATCTTCCCGCCAGCCCGGGTCCGCTGAGCAGCGAAGGAAGGTTTCTAGAGCTTCCCTTCTCAAACGGCCGTGGGTGCGGACCCACGTTCTCCTTTCGTTCGGCGTCCGCGGTGACACGCCAGTGCTGTTCAGGTCGGGAGCAAGCAGAGCTCCGCCGCGGTGATGCAGCGATTCAGTCCAGGTGCTAAGGCACCTGCCGTGGAAAAGGCGCCAGGCTAAGGAAAGACCAGCCCCAAGTCCTGATCTATAGAGAGCGCGCACCGCAAGTGGTGGAGAGCTGGCGCTAAAACCTTGCTTCCCGGTGTTCAGGCCCGCGTTCTAAACGCACAGTTGTGAAGGGAGAAAACAAACGTAAAAGAAAAAAAAAAGAGGAAGAGGGCGACACTGGGCTAGGAGTAAGAGGTGGTACTGGAAAACCACTGGCCTACGAAGGCGTGCGGACACCTGGGTTCCCTGGCCCTGTCACTAATTAATTGTGTGACCTACATGCAAGGTCCCATGGCCTTGGTTTTCCCTTTTGTAAAATGAAAAGGCTGGATAAATTTTCTAAAAGGCTTTCTTTTCAGCTCTAAAATTCTATAGGTCTCTCTTTGAGGCCCCGAGCTGGCTTTAAATACCGAATTAAACTTTCAAATCCATATTGGAATGAGAGAGTGACAGAATAACGGGATGTTAGAACCTGATTTAAGCCTACCTTATGGTTTGCTCGATACTGTTTATACAGTTTCGATTCCAGTGTAGGGTATATTTAACAGTCACCTTACCGTTGACAGGAATCTCTTGAATTTCAGTCTCCACAATGAAGCATAGAGCAGTGTCACTGTGCCTGTTTACACCTGACCAGAACGGAATGGCTGCGGTATACAAGGGGTTAGTTGCATGGTAATTTCATTCTTTATATTCTCCATGAAGTCTCTCCAGAGTAGACGAACACAACTCTATGTAGCTGAGATATTGAAGGGGCTGGAAGGAAAGGTTGCCGAGAGAAGTAACAATTTCAGCTTCGATTCCCCTCAGTGATACTTAAGAACAAGCACATACTAGGATAAGAATGCACAAAAACAGTTCATCTCTGTGCTGCCTACACTACTACTTATTTGAATACGGCTTTAGTTTGCAAATTCAACCTGTTGAGTGGAATTTAAGGCTAATAACATCTCACTTATTTGTCATCATAGGAAAATAAGATAGACCACATATTTAAAACTTTTAACTACTACAGAACCTTTCTCCCCAAGAAAACTCGTTTTCTTGAATACAGCCCTTTGAAAATTACTTCACTTGGTGATTAAGGAGTATCATTATCATTATCAACATTTACTGTATTCTATTATGATCAAGGAATGACCTCAAAGGTATGTAGATCTATTTGTCCCTATAATAAATGGCTTCTAGAATGCTGTTTAAACTTTTTTTTTTAATGGCTCCTTCCTCAATACTGGTAATACTTCTCCTCCTAACAACTTCTCTCCCACCTATTCTGTGAACTTAAACACAGATAAACTTTTATTAGTTTAGACTCTAAGGTTTTGGGTAAAGATTTTCTGTGGGGTTCACCTGTGGGCAAAATACACGAGTAGCTGTGACATCTATTTTGACTACCAAGTGACAGGCTCTTACTTACTTCTTAAAATCTTAGTGGTATTTTTGGTAACTGAGGTTTCTGGATATATGGACTCTGGAAAAGTTATTGCAAAGGATTGCTCTAAATCCTAGAATTTAGAGGGTAAATCAGCAAATATACGCTTTTCAATTTAAACTAACAAAAATCATTATTATCAAGACAGCTAAATGTAGCACCAATGGCCCACCATTTCCATCAGGCACTGGGTTGTCCAGAGCCAGGTGGTAGCTCTCCAGGTCCCTGTCTCCCACCTCTAGGGTAAAAATAGCTCCACTCCTACCCAGTGCTTTTCAAACCAAAAAGGCCCTTTATCTGCAGACATAATGATTCACATCACCATAAAACCTATGCTGTGACAGAGAGCAGTTTCTCCACACTCTGAATGAAACATTCTACAAGTGTATCCAATAGGTATCATTTACTGAAATTTAACTAGTTCAAGACACTGTGTTAAGGGTTTATATTTGGTATTTCATTTTACCTTCACAACCATTCTATAAAGAAGGAATTCTTCTTCCCATTACAGATGAAGAGGATCCCAAATCTTGCCCTGGTTACATAATGATTGAGGGGCAGAGATAGGATTCAAACTTAGAACTGTCTGATCCCAAAGCCTGTAGCTGTAAACTGTTACACTATACCCTTGCACTTAGTTTCCATGTTTATCAAGCAACCTTTGGCAACTAATTCAGTACCTTGGAATGGGGAATTCCCTGTATAGGCATTGTGTACAGTGAGCCAAAAAAAGAATATCCGAAAATGTATACATCAAACTTGACATATTCTTACAAGTTCAAGGATTATGGACCAGTGCTCTGGTACCTGTCCACTTTTAGGGGAAAACGATATACTCAAGATCCCCAAACTCACCTCATATATGTTAAAATGGCTATTATCAAGAAGATAAAAAGTAAATGTTAGAATGTAGAGAAAAGGGAACCCTTGTGCATTATCAGTGGGAATGTGAACTGATACAGCCACTATGGAAAACAGTATGGAGGTTCCTCAAAAATTAAAAATAAAATTACTGTATGATCCAAAAATTCCTCTTCTGTGTATTTATCCAAAGAAAACAAAGCACTAACATAAAAAGATATATGCAACCTTATGTTTACACAGCATTATTTACAACAGCCAAAATAGGGAATTAACCTAAGTGTCCATGGATGGATGGTGGATGGTTAAGAAAATGCAGTGAGTGTGTGTGTGATTTATACATATATATATATATATACACACACAATATGATATGTATACATACAATGGAATATTTATTCAACCATAAAAAATAATGAAATCTTGCCATTTGTGATAATGTGGCTAGACCTTGAAGGTATTATGCTAAATGAAGTAAGTTTGAGAAAGACAAATACCACTTTATCTCAATTATATGTGAAATCTAAAAACAAAAACAGAACACAAAGCTCTATAATACAGAAAACAGATTGGTGATTGCAAGACGAGGGTATGGGTGTGGCACAGGCAAAATGGATGAAGGGGATCAGAAAATACAAATTTCCATTTATAAAATAAGTCATGGACATGTAATGTACACCCTGGTGACTATAATAAAACTATACTGTATACCATAAAGTTGCTAAGAGTATAGATCTTAAAAGTTCTCCAGCAGGGAAAAAACTTTTTAACTATGTATAGTGATGGATGTTAAAAGACTTATTGTGGTGATCATTTTGCAATATATACAAATACAGAATCATTATGTTGTATACCTGAAACTAATGTGTTATATCAATTAAACTTCAAAAATTTTAAATCCTTAGACTACCTCACTGAGACCTGTAAAAGTGATGCCCACAGAAGAGTCAAAATAACCTTGAAAAAGAAGAAAGTTGGAGGACTCACACTTCCTGATTTCAACACTTACTACAATGACACAATAATCAAGACAGTATGGTACTGGCATAGGGATAGCCATAGAGATCTACGGAATAGAACCGAGAGTCCAGAAATAAATCTTTACATTTACGGTCAATTGATTTTTAACAAGAGTGCTAAGACATAAATTGAGATACACAAATAGCTAGACAAATACTGGAAAATGAAGTTGGATCCCTACCTCACACCATACATAAAAAATAAAAGGGATCATATCTCAATAGAAGAGATAAAACTATAAAACTCTTAAGAAGAAAACATAGGAATAAATCTTCAGAATCTTGGGTTAGGCAACGGTTTCTCACATACAACACCAAAAGCATAAGCAACAAAAGAAAATACAGATAAATGGGCTTAATTAAAATTTAAAAGTTTTACAAAAGCAACCAAATCAAAAATAGATAAGTTGAACATCAACAGAGAAAGCCTTTTGTGCTTCGAAGGACACCATTAAGAAAGTGCAAAGAAAGACATCCACATTATGAGAGAAAATATTTGCAAATCATACATCTGATAAGGGTCTAGTATCCAGAATTTATAAAGAGTTCTTACAATTCAACAATAAAATAACAGATAAACCAATTTAAAAATGGGCAAAATATTTTTGAATAGACATTTTTCCAATGAAGGTATACAAATAGCCAATATACACCTGAAAAGATGCAAAACACCATTAGTTATTAGAGAAACACAAATCAAAATCCACAATGAGCTACCACTTCACATCCATTAGGATGGCTGTAATATAAAAGACAGGCAATAACAAGTGTTGACAAGGATGTGGAGAAATTGGAAACCTCATACAGTGGGGGTGGGAATGTAAAATCATGCAGCCGTTCTCGAAAATAGTTCGTCAAAAAGTAAAAAATAGTTATTATATGACCCAAGCACCTGAAAAGAAATGAAAACATCTGTTCACACAAAAACCTACATACAAATGTTCATAGCAGCACTATTCGTAATAGCTCCCAGTGGAAACAACTCGTGTCCATCAACTGATGAATAGATAAACAAAACTGGTATATCCATACAAGAGTGATATTCAGCCATAAAAAGGTTTAAGAACTGATAGATGCTACAACATGGATGAACATTGAAAACAGACAGAGTAA